CTCTCTCTCTCTCTCTGTCTGTGTGTGTGTTTTACCCCGGCAGCTCTTGGCATCGTCCTGCAGCACGTATCCTCGCGGGCAGGAGCACAGGTACCCGCCCTCCGTGTTCTTACAGATGAAGTTACAGGGTTTAGGAGCCTGAACACACTCGTCCACATCTACACACACACACACACACAAGATCAGGTTTAGCCAAATCTGCTCACTAATATAGTGAAATCTCATGACATATTATTTAATGTATCCTTACTAGTTAAAATGCTCATCATATTTGTATTTAAATCTAGTATTTGGACAGGTTTCTGTGATGGCTATGTTTAAGGGTCAGAGGTCAGGTTAGGGCATAGAAATTATAGTTATCACAGTTATCATTATAGTTTTCGCTATAGTTATTAATATCGCCGTATTTGTTGTTACAGTTATCGCTATAGTAATTGTTATGATTCTCGTTATTGTCATGTCGTTATAATTCTCGTTATAGTCATGGTTCCAGTTATCGGTATAGTTATAGCTGTAGTTATAGTTTATCCTAGTTATCATTATAGTTATCGCTATATTTGTTGTTACAGTTATCGCTAAAGTCATCGTTATAATTCTCGTTATAGTCATAGTTACAGTTATCGGTATAGTTATAGCTGTAGTTATAGTTATATCGTTATAGTTTATCCTAGTTATCGCTATATTTGTTGTTACAGTTATCGCTAAAGTCATCGTTATAATTCTCGTTATAGTCATAGTTACAGTTATCGGTATAGTTATAGCTGTAGTTATAGTTATATCGTTATAGTTTATCCTAGTTATCGCTATATTTGTTGTTACAGTTATCGCTAAAGTCATCGTTATAATTCTCGTTATAGTCATAGTTACAGTTATCGGTATAGTTATAGCTGTAGTTATAGTTATATCGTTATAGTTTATCCTAGTTATCGCTATATTTGTTGTTACAGTTATCGCTAAAGTCATCGTTATAATTCTCGTTATAGTCATAGTTACAGTTATCGGTATAGTTATAGCTGTAGTTATAGTTATATCGTTATAGTTTATCCTAGTTATCGCTATATTTGTTGTTACAGTTATCGCTAAAGTCATCGTTATAATTCTCGTTATAGTCATAGTTACAGTTATCGGTATAGTTATAGCTGTAGTTATAGTTATATCGTTATAGTTTATCCTAGTTATCGCTATATTTGTTGTTACAGTTATCGCTAAAGTCATCGTTATAATTCTCGTTATAGTCATAGTTACAGTTATCGGTATAGTTATAGCTGTAGTTATAGTTATATCGTTATAGTTTATCCTAGTTATCGCTATATATGTTGTTACAGTTATCGCTATAGTCACCGTTATAATTCTCGTTATAGTCATAGTTACAGTTATCGGTATAGTTATAGCTGTAGTTATAGTTTATCATAGTTCTCATTATAGTTATCGCTATATTTGTTGTTACAGTTATCGCTAAAGTCATCGTTATAATTCTCGTTATCATGGTTCCAGTTATCGGTATAGTTATAGTTATATCCTTATAGTTTATCATTGTCATCGCTATGTTTATCATTATAGTTCTCGTTTTAGTTATCATTATAGTTATCGCTATAATCATTATTATAGCCATGGTTATAGTTATCAGTTATCATTATATTTTTCGCTGTAGTTATCGTTATACTTATTGCTGTAGTCACTGTTATAGTTATCACTGTTTATTGTCATAGTTCTCATAGCTATTGTTATAGTTATCGCTATATTTATTGTTATAGTTATCGCTGTAGTTATCGTTACAATTATTGCTGTAGTTATTGTTATAGTTATCATTATCACTAAAGTTATTGTTTATAGTGATGGTTATAGTTATTAGTTATTGCTGTAATCGCTACAATTATTGCTGTAGTTATGGTTATAGTTATCATAGTTATTGCTATATTTATTGTTATAGTTATCGTTGTAGCTATCATAGTTATCGTTATCTTTATAGTTATCGTTTTAGTTATCATTATAGTTATCGCTATAATCATTATTATAGCCATGGTTATAGTTATCAGTTATCATTATATTTTTCGCTGTAGTTATCGTTATACTTATTGCTGTAGTCACTGTTATAGTTATCACTGTTTATTGTCATAGTTCTCATAGCTATTGTTATAGTTATCGCTATATTTATTGTTATAGTTATTGCAGTAGTTATCGCTACAATTATTGCTGTAGTTATTGTTATAGTTATCATTATCACTAAAGTTATTGTTTATAGTGATGGTTATAGTTATTAGTTATTGCTGTAATCGCTACAATTATTGCTGTAGTTATGGTTATAGTTATCATAGTTATTGCTATATTTATTTTTATAGGTATTGTAGCTATCATTATAGTTATTGTTTTTAGTCATGGTTATAGTTATTAGTTATCACTGTAGTTATCGTTACAATTATTGCTGTAGTTATTGTTATAGTTATCATAGTTATCGCTATATTTATTGTTATAGTTATTGTTGTAGCTATCATAGTTATTGTTATAGTTATCATTATAGTTATTGCTTTCACTATAGTTTTTTATAGTCATGGTTATAGTTATTAGTTATCAATATAGTTATCGCTGTAGTTATCATTACAATTATTGCTGTAGTTATCACTATAGTTATCGTTAATAGTCATTATAGTTATTAATCAATATAGTTATTGCTGTAGTTATCGTTACAATTATTGCTGTAGTTATTGTTAGTTATCATCAGTGTTGGGAGTAACGCATTACAAAAGTAATAATATTACAGTAGTATATTACGTTTTGCTGTAACGCAGTAATATAACGCATTACTAATAAAATTTGGGTAATATTATTACTACCAGTATCTAAATATGATTTTATAATTTTATGCTATATAGACCTACCACTTTACCCTCCACTGGGTGTAGAATGAGCAGCAATAAACTACATTTTAGCATTTTAGAATGCCTAGTCATAAGTCTGTGGATATTTTGGTGAAAGTAACTCAAAAGTAACTCAAAAGTAGTGTAACGCATTACAATTCAGAGACAGTAATATTGTAATGTAACTAATTACTTTTAAAAGACAGTAACTAGTAATATATAATGTATTACATTTTGGAAGTAACTTGCCCAACACTGGTTATCATTATAGTTATATAATATATATGTATTGGATTACACTTTATTTTAAGGTGTCCTTGTTACAGTGTAGCTATACATTTAAGTACTGAGTGACATTGATTAACTACATGCACTTACTATATGGTTAGGGTTTGGCTTAGGGTTTGGCTTAGGGTTACTTGCATGTAATTATGCATAATTAATTATTATTATAATAGTAAGTACATGTAACATGTGTAACAAGGACACCTTGAAAAATAAAGTGTTACCATTTATTGTATTTGTTGTAGTTATCAGTAACCTCATGCGTCTCCTCTAGAGTTTCAGAAGAGATGTCAGAAATGTCTCAAACTGTGCTCACTAATACAGTCACACAAACGTCTGTGAGTGTGAGACTCACCCACGCACTGAGTGTCGGTGATGTCAGTGGTGTATCCTGGTTTACAGATGCAGCTGAAGGAGCCCAGTGTGTTCAGACACTGGCCGTTCTTACACAGATTCCCCATCACTTTACACTCGTCGATATCTGCACAGCACACACAGATCATCCACAGATCCAACACACAAACACACACTCAGCACAAACAGCGCAAACACGCGACCCGTCAGCGTTACCCTGGCCGTCGGTGGTGTATCCGGGGCCCAGCGGGCACATCTTCTTGTACTGCGTGGTCCCGGGCAGCGGGCAGAGCTCACAGTTGGGCCCCCAGCCGCGGCCCCCGTCACAACAGCACTCGGACTTCCTAACGCTGACGCGACTGCTGGAACTCATCTGACACATGATCTGCAGAACCTCCAGGAAGCAGAAGCCCTGACGGTTATCTGACACACACACACAGCGTCTGTTATCGGCCCAGCTTACCCAATCACCAGCGACAGTGTGTTTTGGTGAACACTACAGATGCTTTACCAGGTTAACTCGCTTCACTAGAAAAAATAAATAAAAATCTTTGGACAAACAGCTTCAACCACTTTAGGTTTTGCTAATTTATGTACCATTCACACCAAGAACAATAACTATAACGTTTTAATAATCGCTCTAGTGAAAATACAGGGTGTCTACAGAAAAGAACAAGTTAAATTTAAGACTTTTTAAGACCTTTTTTAATACCACCTTATGTGAAATTTAAGACCAACCCTGGAGAAATTTTTGCGGTAATGTGACCAAATATATTTAAGACCCAATGAACCTGAATTTAAGACTTTTTAAGGACCCACCCTGAAATAGCAAAGTCCAAACCACAACTATAACAACTGAAGAACAATATTGTTGGAATCACTTTAAGAGCTTTTTTTCTCCAGCTGACAAATGATAAAAACATTTACAGCCAATCAGAATTCATCAGATTTTTAAGAGCTCGAACATTTAAAGCAGCAGACGACAAAACTGCAGCATGCTTAGAATAAACAGAACAATATCGTCCGTTTATGTGGACGCTAATATAGCTATCATTATCGCTACATTTGTTATTGTTATTGCAATAGTTGTGGTTATAGTTATCATAGTTATTGTTGTAATTATCATAGTTATCACTATCACTAGTTATCACTCTTTATTGTAATAGTTACCTATATAGTTCTCCTTTATTGTTATAATTATTGCTATAGTAATCGTTAGCTATCATTATAGTTATCGCTATGGTAATCGTTATAGTTATCGCTATAATTATCATTACAGTCATCACAGCTATCGTTATAGTTAAAGCTATAGTTATCGCTATAGTTATCGTTATAGTTATCGCTATAATTATCATTACAGTCATCACAGCTATCGTTATAGTTAAAGATATAGTTATCGCTATAGTTAACATTATAGTTATCGCTACAATTATCATTACAGTCATCACAGTTATCGTTATAGTTAACGCTATAATTATCATTACAGTCATCACAGTTATCATTAGAGTTAACGCTATAGTTAATGCTATAGTTATTGCTATAATTATCATAGTTATCGTTATAGTTAACATTATAGTTATCGCTATAATTATCATTACAGTCATCACAGCTATCGTTATAGTTAAAGCTATAGTTATCGCTATAGTTATCGTTATAGTTATCGCTATAATTATCATTACAGTCATCACAGCTATCGTTATAGTTAAAGATATAGTTATCGCTATAGTTAACATTATAGTTATCGCTACAATTATCATTACAGTCATCACAGTTATCGTTATAGTTAACGCTATAATTATCATTACAGTCATCACAGTTATCATTAGAGTTAACGCTATAGTTATTGCTATAATTATCATAGTTATCGTTATAGTTAACATTATAGTTATCGCTATAATTATCATTACAGTCATCACAGTTATCGTTATAGTTAACGCTATAATTATCATTACAGTCATCACAGTTATCGTTATAGTTAACGCTACAGTTAGCGCTATAGTCATCATAGTTATTGTTATAGTTATCATTATAGTTATAGCTATCGTTATCGCTATAATTACAATTCATCATAGTTATTGTTAAAGTTATCATTATAATTATCACTATGTTTATTGTTATAGTTCTTGTTGTAGTTATTAAAGTTATTTCTATAGTTATTGTCATAATTATTGTTCACACTATATTTACTATAGTTCTTGTTATAGTTATGACTATAATTATCTCTATATTTATCATTATATTTATCGTTATCATTCTTGGTGTGAATGTATCTTTATGCTGAAATTTCCTGTTTCTCAGATGTGTCTCCTGAGAAAAAGAACCCCAGTAATCTCACGTATCCCCTCTAAAGTCTCAGGAGAGATCTCAAAAATGTCTCAAACTGTGATTTCAGATTTGCTCAAGCTGCCAATAAGAAGTTAAAGATCTCAAACAATTCTCATCAAATGATCTGAGCTGCTCCACATTCATGTTAAACCTCTAGACTCTTACTGGAGGATGACCAGTGACTCATTTTTATGGAATTTTAGGAGAAGCATCTGAGACAAAGCTGATACTTCAATGAAACATCACGTCTCCTGAGCAATGAAAGAGCAGTGGACTGAGCTGCTACGAAGCTTACAGTTAGCCGCGGTGAGCCACACTCTTACCGATGCACTCAGTTCTGCTGGGACTGGGACTGAAGCCCTGATCGCAGACGCAGCGGTAACTGCCCACCGTGTTCTCGCAGCGGCCGTTCTCACAGATGCCTGGTTTGGCCGTGCATTCGTTCAGATCTGTGCGCAAACACGCGTCAGGAGTCTGAGCGCTGCAGAGAGTGTCAGTAAACATCGGGATGTGAGCGCTCACCCACGCAGCTGTCTCCGTTGGGCTGTCTGGTGTATCCCGGCGTGCAGATGCACATGTACGTGCCGATCAGATTCTTACAGGTCATTCCTCTGGACGCACAGTCATCCAGACCCTCCTCGCACTCGTTCTGATCTGATGAACACAAGAGGAGCGTTCAAACGTGATGATGTGTGTTTGTGACGCAGAAAGACTCGTCTTTACCTCTGCACATCCGGCGGTCTTCTCTCAGCACGTATCCCGCTGGACATTTGCATTCGTACGAGCCCACCGTGTTGACACAGCGGAACGCACACAGCAGGGGATTCTGGGAACACTCGTTGATATCTAAAAACACAGCATGTGTTTTCATCAAACACCAGGGCACATACAGAAGTGTTCACACACTAGAGAGTGTTTGACATCAGTTTGTAAACACGTGGATGATTCACCATCGGTGTGAAAACAATCCAGACTAACTAGAGCAAGTGAGCTGCTATGTTTTAGTGTGTGGCTCTTTGTTGCTCTGCAGAGGTTGAAGCACGTGTTGCATCTCATCTCAGTAATTTTGAGCATGTTTATGTCGTTTATGTAGTTAAATCAGAGATAGAAGCATAAGGGGCCGTTCACACAATGTATTTATGCTTTTAAAAATGCAGGGCAGTGGATAGAAAAGACTGAAGGACTCGAGATGATTTTTTTTAAAGTTGAGCTACTTTTAAAAACATGAGTATAATGGTGAAAGGCATCCATCTAATATGTTCACATAGAAAAACGATGGAAAAGCAGCACAGTACACTGAAAAAAAAAAACATTAGTGTAGGATTTACTTTTAAACAATTTTTACTCAGAAACTGCTGGTAAATTTCACAAATAATTATAATGAAATAAGGCAATTGTGAGTTTATCTCAAAATTCTGACTTTTTTTCTCAGAAGTTTAAGTTTATATCTTGCAATTGTTTTTTTTTTCCATCACAGAATAAAAAAATAAAGGTAATTGAGACTTCTAATCTTTTAAATTTTTTAAGACTTTTTTTTTCTCACAATTCTGAGTTTATATCTCACAGTTTAGAGTTCATATCTCGCAATTCAATTCTTCAAGTCAGAATTGTGAGATATAAACTCAGAATTGCGGGGGGGAAAAATCAGAATTGTGAGATAAAAAGTATGAATTAAACATTACATTTTGAAGCAGAATGACTGAAACAACACTTTATAATAGCATTTTTGTAAACTGTACAGCTTGGAGAAATCATCAGATTTAGATTGGTAACCAGCTGCTGCTAGTACTCGCAGTGATAATATACAGTAAATATACAGTGGATCAGAACCGAATCATACAGTGTGAATCAACTGGGCTTCAGAACGAATAAACAAAGTGAGTGTGAAAGTGTCCCACAGGAACACTAGCAGTTCTGGAAGAATAAGTACAGCAGCAGCTCTTCACTGACCTTCACAGGTCATCATGGGTCCGGGCTCGAACCCCTCGTCGCAGCTACACTCAAACGCTCCCTCCACGTTTGTGCAGGTGCCGTTCCCACACGGGTTCCCCAGCTCACACTCGTTCGTGTCTGAAGACGGAGAGCACATACACACACACACACACACGAGTTCAAGTTCAACACACTCCCCATCAGCCTGATCATACACTTATGAACTAACATGATTTAAAATTACAGTTAATATTCAGTAATATTATCGATTTAACTGCAACAAACAAAGAACAAAACTTGAACTGAATTGCTCTGAATAATGACAATATTGTTCCTCTACAGAGCTGCTTTACAGCTGAACCTGAATTTGTTTCATAATTAATTTTGCAACATTTTAATGACACTGTTATTGAGCCGAATTGAATCAACATTGAACTGAAATGAATCAACATTAAACTGAGTGAATCAACAATTAAATGAACCGAATTAACATTAAACTGAACTGAATCAAAAATGAACTGAATTGAATCAACGATGAACTGAACTGAATTAACATTGAACTGAATTGAATCTACATTGAACTGAATTGAATCAACAATGAACTGAACTGAATCAATATTGAACTGAACTGAATTAACATTACACTGACTGAATCAGCAATGAACTGAACTGAATCAACATTAAACCAAACTGAATCAACATTGAACCGAACTGTATCAACATTGAACTGAATTGAATCTAATTAACATTAAACTGAACTGAATCAAAAATGAACTGAATTGAATCAACGATGAACTGAACTGAATTAACATTGAACTGAATTGAATCTACATTGAACTGAATTGAATCAACAATGAACTGAACTGAATCAATATTGAACTGAAATGAATTAACATTACACTGACTGAATCAGCAATGAACTGAACTGAATCAACATTAAACCAAATTGAATCAACATTGAACTGAATTGAATCTGCATTGAAATGAAATAAATCAACATTAAACTGACTGAATCAACAATGAAATGAACCGAATTGAACTGAATAAATCAACATTGAACTGAATTGAATCTGCATTGAAATGAAATAAATCAACATTAAACTGACTGAATCAACAATGAAATGAACCGAATTGAACTGAATAAATCAACATTGAACTGAATTGAATCTGCATTGAAATGAAATAAATCAACATTAAACTGACTGAATCAACAATGAAATGAACCGAATTGAACTGAATAAATCAACATTGAACTGAATTGAATCTGCATTGAAATGAAATAAATCAACATTAAACTGACTGAATCAACAATGAAATGAACCGAATTGAACTGAATAAATCAACATTGAATTGAATTGAATCTACATTGAAATGAACTGATTCAACATTAAACTGAATTGAAACAACAATGAACTGAACTGAATCAATATTGAACTGAAATGAATTAACATTACACTGACTGAATCAGCAATGAACTGAACTGAATCAACATTAAACCAAATTGAATCAACATTGAACTGAATTGAATCTGCATTGAAATGAAATAAATCAACATTAAACTGACTGAATCAACAATGAAATGAACCGAATTGAACTGAATAAATCAACATTGAACTGAATTTAATCTACATTGAACTGAACTGATTCAACATTAAACTGAATTGAATGAACAATGAACTGAACTGAATCAATATTGAACTGAATTAACATTACACTGACTGAATCAGCAATGAACTGAACTGAATCAATATTGAACTGAACTGAATCAACATTAGACTGAATCAACAATAAACCAAATTGATATGATATTGATATGTTTCATAATTCATGAATAGATGTAAATGTGACTGGACATGATCGGTTTAAAACCTTCACAGTTGATCCCCGTGAAGTCGAGCCGGTAGCCAAACGAACATTCGCAGCGGAACGTCCCGTCCGTGTTGATGCAGTGGCCGTTCCTGCAGATGCCGGGGTTTTCTGTGCACTCGTCCACATCTGAAACACACGTCTGATCAGTCTGTGCTCACGAACACACGTGTGCGTGTTTGATTCAGTGACACTCACCCACAGTCGTGTCGTCAATAGTGAGGATTTTACCAGAAGCAGGACACAGAGCTTTGTATGCTGTTGAAACACACACAAACAATAACTATTACTGCCATCACATCGTGTGTGTATGTGTGTGTGTGTGTGTGTGTGTACTCACCCTCCTCCTCCGGAGAGGGGCAGATCTCACACGGGTTGCCCCATCCCTGACCCGGCATCACGCTGCAGCAGCAGGAGCCTTTAGTGGTGTTGAAGGGCTTCGGAGCCTGACAGCGTCCGTTCTCGAACTTAGTGTAACAATAATTCACACGAATATCTGACAGACAGAGAGACAAGAAACAGACATTGATTAAAGCTGCCAAATTATTCTCGAATCATTGTGGAAGAAATATTTGTGAAGAACCATTTGAGAATGAACCATTTGTGAAGAATCAATTCAGAAGAATCATTTGGGTAGAATCAATTCAGAAGAATCATTTGGGTAGAATCAATTCAGAAGAATCATTTGGGTAGAGTCAATTGAGAAGAATCATTTAAGAAGAAAGCTCATTCTTTCTTAAATGGAAACAAGGTGACTTGTTCAAAATAACTATACATATAAAATTGACTTGGCATCAGGAAATGATTTTCAATAAAGATAAATAATCATGAGATTCACAGATGCGGATTATTCTTTCTCAAATGATTCTTCTCAAATGATTCTTTCCATGTGGTTCTTACCAAATTAGTTTTTCTCTAGTGATTCTGCTCAAATGATTAATCAATGCACAAAATACATTACCAGAATGATCAATAACTTTATTTAACAAATCACAGATATCTATAGACACGTGTCCTGCAGTGGAGTCCCGAGGTGCCTAAACATGATGTGTGTGTGTGTGTACCTACTTAACCATATTTTAGAGACAATTTTATACCCAGAAGTGAGCTGAATCTGATCAAAGCGGTCAGTAAATAAATAAACAAATGCAAATTTTAAATGTAAAAATAGTATTTATAACTAACTGTATAGAAACAGTAGCAGTCTATGAAATGACGCTATTCAGAGAGCGAAGTGTGTGTGTGTGTTGTTGAGAAAGAGATGGGCGGCTAGGTTGCTGTTAATCCCTGAGGCCTGTTTTTCATTTGCAGAAGCCTTTCCACCCTCTAAACACACACACACACTCACACAAACACACACCCTGTCCTGTCCATGGAGTCAGAATGGAAAGTGTGAGCGAGTGGAAGACAACAATTGAACGAACAGCCCTGTGTTCTGTTTCCTTTCTACTTCATGAGGAACAAATCATTCACTCATTAAACATGACGAGCTTCCTGACTGCTGACCTGCAGCAAAACGTTTTCAACAACCTGCGGAACTGTGGGGGATATATCTGCGATAACTCACCCACACATCTCTTTCCAGTCGAGGACAGCTGGAATCCCTCCGGACACTCACACCTGAAGCTGCCTGGCGTGTTCACACACTTGCCAAAGATGCAGATCTCTGCAGTCTGAGAGCATTCGTCGATATCTGAGCAAACACACGGATGACAGCGGTTTGACCACATCACTGTGAGCACTAGTACTAGTGATGCCGTGACCTGAGCCTCACTGACCTTCACACCTGTCGTTCTGCAGGAAGTATCCAGGAGGACAGATGCACCTGTAGGAGCCGTCCAGATTCTGACACGTTCCAGGGCCGCAGGTGCCAGGGCTGATCAAACACTCATTGATGTCTGAGCAGAAGAGACGTGATATAAACACACACACACACACACACACACACATGTTGGAGGTCCAGCAGAGCAGCTTCAGGACTCACCCACGCACATCCAGCCATCAGGAGAGAGTTTATACCCGTCCAGACACACGCACACAAACGAGCCCACCGAGTTGATGCAGTTTCCATTCCGGCACAAGCCCCGGAGCGATGCACACTCATCTGTGTCTGAACGACACAAACAAAACAGAGTCGTTAACACACAAACACATGTCTGTCTGCTGTGGAATTAATAAATATTCTGTGCTTTATAAACTTTTACATTACAGTCATTCATGCTTCAAGTCAACAGGAAATCAATAATGATGGTAAAAGAAAACAGTACCATCATTAAAACATCATTCGTTAACACTTGTGTGTGTGTACCGATGCAGTCGTTGTTGTGTGACA